TATGTTTCTACAAATCAAAGCTTGTTTATATTGCAGAACGTATTATGCGCAAATTGAAGATGCGGCAGCAAGTTATAGATCATTATTATCTGACGAAAGGTTTCAGCTACTTCGAGGACGTATGCACATGTTCTCTAGCTTGTATGGTGTGTACTTTGAGCAGGGATCCGTTTGTGAAGAGTATATTCGCATCTTTCGCATTGTTTGCAATCGGATTGAAGCTGTGTTCCGAGCTAGATGCATGGGAGATGCCGAATCACGTTTCATAAGACCAAAATATCGATAATGGCCAACACGTAATCTTCACCTAAGCCTCTTATAGAATCGCGACAATTTGCATTTAGATTAACGAGACCCCATTAACCGAATGTGTACAATAACTCGTTTATTCAATATACAGCTATATACAGTTTGAAATTGTATATACAATCATAGAGATTTATAAGTAAATTAAGCATTTAAGATTATTTAGGATTTTGCTATACTTCGACGAAGCGACGTTCTGATGATCCATAACAATGCGATTAATACGAGTAATGCAGTTGCTGATAACAGGATTGCTAAATAATAATTCTGTAAAGCGCGTGTTTCATATTTTGGAAGAATCACTCGCAGAACAATGTCATCCTGCCACTCGACAGTATTGTTTCGATCCAAGACACTTCTGGCACGTCTAATGTGACTGCCGGGACAATCCAGAACACAGTCCACAGATTCTACGCATGCCATGGCCTTTATAGTGAGGAAAATCTCATCGGTCTCTTTCATGCCCTCAAACATGAACGCCTGGAAAATTAGGTAGCTCTCCAACGGTGACATCGCATATTGTTCGCGAGGACAAATCTCATGCACCTCCGGATTTAAGCAACCATCCTTGTCGAGGATCAACAGACTATTAACGATTTTCTGCCGCTGTCGCTCCTCTACGTAATGCATTGTTACTTGGCCGATTTTTGAGTGTCGCCAGCCTTTGAACAGAAAGGATAAACAATGAAAATTGAAATAATTAAGATTACGTAAATAATTAATGTTCATCATTTAAATCTATTTTCATATTAAAATTAGTATAATTATACAGTTAACGATCTTAATTATATAATCTTAACTTGCGATCTTAATTATATAATTAATCAACTTTTGCTTAAGATTAATTTTATATTAATTTAATAGGACTGTGTGACTGATTTTTCTTTATACGTATCTCTTGTATGTCTCTTTGTGAGGTGAAACTATCGATTTAGCGAATCGTATGTTACATGAAGTAATATCGATGTCCCAGTCGACGCCATTCGTCTTACTAAAGAAATAAAAATGTACTGTCACCGTTCAGTACTAAAGCGCTTACTGTCGTTGCCGTTGACTAATACGCGTAACAAAATCTCTTCGCCTAAGACGACCGTGCCGCCCGATTGTATTTTCGTGTCGAAAATGTTTTTTGAGTCGTAAGTCTTCCTGAATAGTCCAACGTCAATATTCAGAGCATTTTCAGCACCACCGTTTAGCACGCCTGGTATGTTCCTCGCTTTCCTATGGGGGATACATAATGTATCTGAATAATTCGTTTTCCACGCCAGAGACGGATGCTTATTTTTGCCACTTTTTGTCAGAAGACAAATGACGCGTCTTACGCTTCTAAAGTCTTCACGCTGATCTGCCTCGTATGATATGCGATTCTGTTCTGGGTCTTACATCGCAACGTCACCCTATGGTCGTCCTTCAGTCGTAGACCGGAGATCACGGGGAATCTTAGATCGAGGCAATATGATTGGTTGTCATCCGTAGAACAATCAACAACCCCGCAATTCCAGACTTGGTCTTTCTCAAAACTAATGCGATAAGAGTCCTTGACTGCTATTGCCCGACAAACATCACCCGTCACGTTATCTATCACCGGTGGAACTGAATTCTTCACTTTGATAGATGCTCTATAATTATGGATTGTGTGATATGTGCATGAAATTATTATACGTATGTATACATATTGATATCAAATTCAAAATATCCATCTCATTAAAATTAATTTAATTTAGTTATATATTAAATTTAATTATCTCAAAATTAAAATTAAATGTGTATGATCGATGGAATTGTTTAGTCTGCTTAGTGTAAAAATGTTTATTTAAGATTTGAAAAATGTGGCAAAGATTAAGCTTATATATGCGGTAAAAAAAAAAGAAGAGTTAAAATCCTCTTGAATTTCATTACCTGAAGAACAATTCGTCTCTCGTGTTCTGACAGGACATCTCCTCAACGCTAACGCGGTTTACGAAGGATGGTGATGTTTCACCGAAAGGAGGAGAAGGAGGAGGAGTCTGCGTTGTGGTTGTCCGTTGAGGGTGTTTGCCTTGTTGGAAAGTAGGTCGACGATGATGCAGAGGTATTCGCAACCCGTCGCTCCCCGGATACCTCGTGTCGTACGGATCCTTGCGCGTGGGGATTCGCAAGGAATCCCGTTCAGGAAGATGATACAACGCGTTGGGATAGTTTCTGGTCTCGTCCGTTACCGCGACCGCTACGTTCCGAGCTCTGTTATCGATCACTTCCGGCAGGGAGAAATCCGGAATCGAAGTCGGAGGTAAATAATTGTTGTCGTGAAGTATCGCTACCTTCGAAATGTTGTGTCTGCGATGGAAATTCACAAAGATCGCGTCTCGAGATTCAAATCCGTACGCGAGGTTTTCTGAGGATATCATGCTGATGAAGAGGAGCCACCGATATATCTGCAACGATCGACCATTAATTTGATAAATTATCAGTTTGATGAATTAGTTTGATAATTATAGTATAATGAATTAAGCATAAAAATAGTTTAGCTTAAGTCTCCTTTTGAATGTAATTTAAAGTTATTATATTTTCGAAAAACTTAAAATTTTTTTAGGATTGAAAATTAAACAATTCAATATTTTCAAGATTCACCTGCGTTGAGCACGTTTTGTATTGCAAATCATAATATAGTTGAGACATACTGAATAACAGGGTGCGACTGATGATCGGCGAAGCCGTAGGTGGGCTTTTAAAGCGCTTTTAAAGCGCACACCTTCACAAAACCGGATCCCGGTGGTCATTGTTTTTTCGTCCAGCGAACAAACATCGGTGAACATCGACCACCAGACGATTTAATAGGTACCGTATTTCGTGATTTGGTTGACGATCAGGTACTTAGCATAAAACATCATCCTCGATTTTAACGCGACTGCCATTAATAATGATAACGGCAAGATCTGTCGTCGTCACTCTCACGCTGTTCATTATATCTCGATCAATTTAGGTCAGAAGGTCTCTCTGTGACTCGCATACAGTCGCATATCCATTTGCAGATTTCTAAGTTGACATCTCTGATATTGCGCACTTTATATTCTGCTTAATATGTGTTTTTCTAAAAGAAATCGTTAAGTGTTATATCTTATATTGATAATAATGAAATATATATGCGTACTCCCCCCTCCCCCCCATTTAAATATGTATATATCTCTTTAATTCGATAAGATATATATATATATATATATATATATATCCTACGTAAAATTTAATACTGTATTAACTTTATTACATCAAATTTATTATGTACTTACATAATATACATACATTTTAATGTATGTATATTTAGTATGCTACATTTATTTTATATCCCAAAATCATTGAAAATCTTCTAATGGATTCTTGAAGGTATAATTTTTATATAATTTTCATTGTGAAAATATTTTATGTATTATTAATTATTTAGAAAACATTTGATAATATTAATATAAATTTTGCCGCATTAATGTTTAATAACTAAAATAATATTTAACACTAAAATTAATATTCGATTACATTATAATATATAGTATAATTTATTACATCGTAACAAATTATCCTCATTATGTGTTAAAATTATTGTACAGTCTAATGTTGATTATTGTTTAATAATTAATGTAATTGATCGCATAGAAGTAATGATAAATTACGAGGTGCGAGAAATTATGAAACTATCAAATTAATGTGATTAACGAAAAAAAAAAAAAAATGCTCCAGGTGAGGCTCGAACTCACAACCCCGGCATCGCTCACGAGAAACTGCTCTATAAGTACCGTGCGCTAACCAATTGCGCCACTGGAGCTGTTGAAATTGGTCATCGTAAACGGGCCTCTTCAGCGATCGTATCACTAATACCGAAAGCTTCTTGTTCTTATTTAATATATTATCAATTTGCGCATTATAAATGATTTCAACATTTTTACAAAAATCAAGTTGAAATAGAAACGAACTTTAAATTTCTCGAATAGTCGCCAAGAGTGTCCAACATATTCATGTATTCATGCATCGTATTTATTTGTTTTACTACACGCTCGATTTCTATTTAATTAGCAAGAAAATTGATGACATCTATTTGACAACTCATGACTAATTGTAAGATTTTATCGTTACTTGATTTTCAACAATTTGCACTTTCCTTTAAAAACGTAATAAGTATATTTAGGAAGAGAGAAACGCAAGTATAGAATTTGTAAAAAATACTAAACGAACGAAATTAAAGAATATATTTTTGTTTATTAGTCGAATATTCTCGAGCCTACAAAGTTAATGACAGATGAATGACAGGATCAAAATGAAACAGATTTATGCCACATTTAGGTTAGAATAGAAAGAAAGAGAGAGAAGATGAAAAAAGGTGCAGAAGGTGCAGTTGAAAGGAAATCTAATTCTGATGTTCATGTTTTCACATCGTACAGTTTAGATTGTGCGTATTGCGTGATCGATCGCACGTTGCATTTCGCATCCTTAAGGAAATGCGGCCGAAAGATCAGCGGAGATCAGGAAAAATATAAACAAACAGAGCGAGGAAGGAAATCCGCTGGAACAGAGATCGCGAGAAACGGAAATTGACAACACTAGCTGCGACAGCACGCACTCTTCGTGAACATGTCGGCTGCTAAATACATTTTGACAGTCGTGTGAGAAAAAGGAGGATCCGCCACCGATCCTGAGACCGCGCTTCACCGTCACGATCGCTCCAGAGGATGTCATGTACGTAAATGGCGGTGACACGAGGTGGAAGGAACGCGAGGAAATGCCACATAACAGCGCGATAGTATGCTTGTTTTTCAGAGCCGAAACATTCCTACTTGTCGCGACATTAATTTCCCGTCGACGGTTTACGTCGGCTTAAAGAATACGCGCGACTTCATTTAACTTAACTTTGCTGTATGTATTTTGCAGTCACTCTATTTTTGTCACATATTCTACACATTGTAAAGGTTACATTGTATTTATTTGCATCTTGCATAGTAGAGTTCATAACTTATTCTGTTTCCCTTGTAGGCATAAAACATGAGCTGGTTTGATGCTACGGGATTTGCCAATTTGGCAAAATCTGCTTTGAAAGGAGCACAGAAGACCATAGACAAGGCTTTGGATATCAAGGAGGAAGAACCAAAGGTGATTCAGTCGCATGCAGTGGAAACTTCAGATTTTTTTACTAGTTGGGGAGTACAGAATGAACAGGAGACCAGCAAACGTGACAGCAATCCACAGAAACAACCAAACTCGAGTAGTATTTGGGGTAGCTTTACAGGCTCGTTTTTTGAACCTGCAAAAGTAGATGGGAATGGATGGAAGACTATCAAGCATTCCAAGTCCTTGCAAAGTACTATCAATCGAGATGAACAACATAGCATGGTGTTTTCTACTTCAGCCCCTGAAAAATTGATGACAAAGGACTCAAAGTCCGCAATAGCAAAGAGTGAGTCTGTACATAAGGAAGATAAAGGAGAGTCTAGTGCTATCAGTGAATCTGTAAATACTAATCGTAGCGTATCTAAAGAATCTAATGAAAAAACTATGTCAGAATCTTGTATATTATCAGAACAATCGTCTCTAGACAATGTTGTTTCTATTAGTACCGATAAGACTAAAAGTGCCAGTTTAGACTTGGAACAAATATACCATGCGCCAATGGCGGACAATACCGACAGTGATTCTACGACGAGCTCTGATAGGGAAGAAGAAGGCCAATACGACAACGAAGTGACATCAGAAAGCAACGATATCAATCATATGTTGAGTCCCATTAATGTGTTCCACCAAGTACCTAATGTTTCTTCTGAAAGCGATAAGAAAAGCCTGGAGAGTGTGGAGATACTTGGTTCGCAATCCAACACTGATTGCACTACCACACCGGAATCAGATCCTAATTCTGTTACTAATTCATTAAGTCCTTCTGTCATTGATATTAAGGTAAATTCCGAATCGGTTGAGATACTGCCCGACAGTTTGGTAACGTCACCGAGCTCCGTGGAGGTCCTGGGAGATTGGAAAAGCGACAGCAGTCCTTATCTATCTCCAATAGATCAAAAAAATCTAGAGTCATCTTCTGTTCTGGGCGAAGATGAATGCGCTACTCCATGCATAGACTGCGCCGACATATTGCAACCGCCAAGTAGAGATCAATTCGCGGAAGCTTCATCGTCCGACATCTCACCGTATGAATCTCCGATGGAAGAAATGAAAACGTTGAACATCAGTCCATATCCTAACAGTGTTGATAGTACACCGTCACCCAATACGTTTTCCAGCTTGGACACGAATAAAAGTTTGTCAGACGCGACAAACAACTCAAAAATCTCCCCTGAAAGCGTCGAGGTGATACCGGACGTAGAAGAGGCAGATGAAGTGAGTTTGGCCGAAGATTCTTACACTTCAGCTTCTGAAGGTACAGTCATGACAGTATTTGAACCGTTACAACAAATGGATACGACTAAAAATAAGATGGAATTGAGCGATATAAAGATGCCTGTAAAGATGCACGATTCATGTCCGGATGATAGGCAAATCTCAACAAAGGCTTGCACAGAGAACAAGTTAAACTTAAGTCTTGATTCACTGAAAGAGAAACATAATTTGCATCTGACACTTGAGGCAATTACCACACAGCCAATTCGCAAATTGGATCACTTGGAAGGAGTAAATGAGAAATCGGATGTTTCCACCTTTTCTCAATTAATGAGTACCACTATAGAACCACCGGATCCAGATAGTCAAATCGAAAATCTAGAAGAAACAAAAATGATTGAGAGTAATACTGACCAATATTTTATATCTACCGATTCGAGCAGGGAAGGTACCTTGATAGAGAGCAGTTCAGAAGATAACGCAACATTAATCTGTACGAATGATTCCAAAGTCCTAGAGACGCCTTTGACTACTAGTTCTTACGTGAAGACTATGTTAGCTGATGCTATGGTCGAAAAGAGTGAAATGACTGATATGGAGACCCATTGCACGGAAGTACCGCGAGAAAATTCGCCTATATCGTCAGAAAGGTATTATTTAATTTACATATATTTTATTCAAATTTGTAACTACTTTTTTTTATCTAAAATCTACTTTTATAGTCGTTCCGATCTTGTAAAAATTGGATCTGATCAAGCCAGTGGACATACAAGTGGAGACGAATTAGAAACTACAACATCGAGCGACATAGAAATAATATCTAGGTACGAGTATAATATGTTTCATATTTAACATTCAATATATCAATACTTTAATACATTATTTGTCAACAGTCCTAACGGAGATTCAAGTTCGACTCAATCGCGACAAAGTCCGGCGAAATTGCAATTGAGTAAAGGTGGTGATTTGTTAACAAAAACTTTAAAGACTCGAGGTCATTCTCGAGAATTGAGCGAAATCAGCGTAGGATCGGATGAAACGAATATGGAAATTGAAAAATTATTGAAACGAATACAGGAGATGACCGAGATTTTAGAAGCGAGAGAATCAAAGTTAATCGACGTAAGCAGGATAAATATGGAATTACATGAACAAAATGCAAATTTAATGAAGTAAGATTGTCGTAATTGTCTCAAAATATCATTCTATCTTCAAATAACAGATATCATGAAAAGATATGTTTTACAGACAGCTCGAGAATTTTGAAAAACATGCGGAGCAAAATCAAAATATCAATCAAATCACAGATGAATATACGCAACGTCTGTCGGCACTGGAGAGGAAATTTCAACAAGCGATAAGGGAACGTGATCAATTGAGAAAAAATTTAGATCAGTTGAAGCTGGAAGCGGCTTCGCGTTTATCGTCGCAGGAAATGTCTAGCATAAATGCCGAGAAGGATGAAATTATAAAGGAGCTTCGTGAAGAAGGCGAGAAACTCAGCAAACAACAGCTTCAACACAGCAACATCATAAAAAAGCTGCGCGTAAAAGAGAAGGAGACTGATGCAACGATAAAGAGTCAAAAGTATTTTAATTTTTTTTTGTGCTGTTTTAATTACATTAAAAATAAACAGCAAATGATAATTATATTTATCGCAATTTTTATTTTATTATTTTTCTAGGGAACAAATAGAGGAACAAAATACAGAATTGGAGAGATTGAAACGATCGTTGTATGCGAAGGAGGAAGTAGAGCGTAGTCAAATAGAAGCCGTTCACACGTTGACAGCGAAAACGAAGAAGCAAGAAAAAGAGATACTAATGTTACAAGAAAAATTGGATAATACGATGCATAAGATGGAAGCCTTCAAGAAGAGCTTGGATGCTGCAAAAGTGTAAGTATAGAATTATTAATTGATTCTAAAACGAAACGAGTTTTATATACATAATAAAAATTTCTCTGTAATAGAGACTTAGCAGAAACAAAGAAAAAATTGCTAGTTACTGAAGAAGATTTAAAAGAAGCTGTAGATAACGCGGGGGAATCGTGCCAATTGTTTGCACAAGTGGAGGATTTAAAATTGAAATACCGTCAAGCTGAAGAAGCGCACGTCAAGTAAACATATATTAGTTACGCTATTCATCATGTAAATAATTTTAATTCTAATACTATTCATTTTTTATTGTATAGAAGGGAAGAATTTTTCAAGTACGAAAACAACGAATTACTTAAACGATTAGAAGCGGCAGAGGCTAGAAGTGAAGAGTTTTCTGAATCCGTCTCGGTAGCAACAAAACCTTTATTAAGACAGATAGAACAGCTTCAAGCGAACTTATTACATAAATCCAATAGTTTCATGAAGCAGGAGAAGGTTTTATCAGAAAAAAATATCGAATTACAGTCAAAAAACGAGAATTTAATCGAGATGGATCGTCTTCTGAGAGAAGAGAATATTAATCTGAAATCCAAAGAATCTCATTTAGAATCGAAGCTCAATTTAAAAGAGAAAGAAAGATTGAAATTGCAGGAATTTCACGATAAATTAAAAGAAGAAAACAAGAGATTATTAGAGCAAAATAAAGAGTAAGCGTTTAGAATACATAAATATATATTTTTGAGATGTGATAATATTTAATTTATAACAAAATTCAAATTGCAGAC